CCAAAATCTCCTGAGGACATTTACAAGGTATGAATCTAGTTGATTTCTCCTGACCTTTTCTGTTAGGATTTTGGAGATTGGCTTTTTAGCATCTTTGAGGTTAACCCTTGGCTGGATTCTCAGGCACATTTACTTGACGGCCGAGCTAGCGGTGGGGGAAGTGTTGATTCTGCCAGACAGAACTTGGCAGCAACATTTGTCAATGCATTTGTAAATGCTGGCTTTGGTCAGGTAAAAACGAATTTTACGAATGGTATTGGGTTCATTCCAGAATTTTATTCCGACACTTCATAATTTTTATTTGTTTCAGGATAAGTTAATGACAGTTCCGTCAGAGGCATCAAGCAGTGGTTCTTCAACGAGCTGGCTCTTCAAAAATAAGGATCACGGAAAAGCCAGTGCTGCAGCAAGTCTGGTATGTGCCTTTAGGTCATTTAATTTTTTTCCATACTGTAATGTGAAGGCTGGATGATCATGCTATGTCACCATTATAGGGTATGATTCTGCTTTGGGATGTTGATTCTGGACTTGCGCAACTCGATAAATATTTCCACAGTACGGACATGCATGTCATTGCGGGCGCCTTACTAGGAGTTGGGATTGTAAATTGTGGTATCAAGAATGACTGTGATCCAGTGAGTCCAAATTTCTAAACCTGACTGAAGAGTGATCCTCAATACTAACAAATATTTGACCAAATGGTTTCATGACGTCTTATTATTCTGTTCTCTCAGGCGTTGGCTCTTTTGGCTGATTACATAGACAGAGAAGATTCTTCCATTAGAATAGGTGCAATAATGGGCCTAGGACTTGCATATGCTGGGTCTCAAAATGAACAGGTGAGTTTCCATGTGATCATACCAGCAGAATTGTTGATTGTTATTTGTTCTAAATCTTAGAACCTTATTTGTGAAAATTATGAAACCATATTTGAGTAGTCCATAGCTAGCTCTCGCAACACATTTCCACTTCATGTCTGCTTGAGAAGCACCTGCATTTGCCTAAATCTGACTATCTATATTATCACTTTCCAGATTCGAAGTAAATTAACCCCCATACTTGGAGATGCAAAGGCATCACTTGATGTGATTGCATTTACTGCAATCTCTCTAGGCTTGGTATATTTAGGTTCGTGTAATGAAGAGGTAGCCCAGGCACTTATATTTGCATTGATGGACAGAAGTGAGTCAGAGGTGGGGGAGCCCCTCACCCGTCTCTTGCCTCTGGGTCTTGGTCTTTTGTATCTTGGGAAGCAGGTAATTATGGTTGCTCCTGCTTTGGCATTTAATCAAAATCATATTTGAGGATAAAAATTATGTATTTTTTTTCCTGGTTATCTTTTAGAAATTATATATTATATTTGGTGTCAGTTGACACTGGCAGCAGGCATGTACTTGCCACCGGAGAGAACCAAAACATTGCCATAGTATTAATTCCCTGTTTTCTTCTCTGGCAGGAAAGTGTGGAGGCAACTGCTGAGGTTTCAAAGACATTTAATGAGAAAATCAGAAAACATTGTGACATGACCCTGCTTTCATGTGCCTATGCTGGGACTGGAAACGTACTCAAGGTTATGAACATGTGCTGTTGGACTCAAAGCAGGTAGTGCTGCTATGTTAATTAAGTTACCAACTGCTTTTTGTATTACAGGTACAACACTTCCTTGGTCAGTGTGCGCAGCATCTTGAGAAGGGAGAAACATACCAAGGACCGGCTGTACTTGGAATTGCTATGGTTGCAATGGCTGAGGAACTGGGGGTCGAGATGGCTATTCGCTCATTGGAGCATCTTTTGCAGTATGGGGAGCAGAACATTAGAAGAGCAGTTCCTCTGGCACTAGGTCTTCTCTGCATTTCAAACCCAAAGGTATATATGCTTTTGATACATGCAAATCTTGATTTGGGGTGACAATGTATCAGTGGCTATAGGTCTCTTACCCTCGTACTATATTCTGTTGTCTGGCAAGTCTGACCAGATATTCGGGAACAGAACATGAAGCGTATGCTGATCTTGAAAATCTTTTCTGGATGCAAAAACACAAAAACTGCTGAAACGGGAACTCATGTTGGTACATTCAGAAAAAATAAAAAAATAGCATAATGTGTAAGCACTAAGCAGTTTCGAAAGAGTGCACAATATCCTTTATACTTTTTGACACTCCTTTGTGTTTTCTAAAAGCACTTTGTGGAAACGTTTTAAAGATATTTCTCAATTCATTTTTTTGCATGGTCTCACAATGGGGCCTAAATTTACCTATTCTCTCTGTTGAGCACGAACGCTAAGGTGTGCACTGCTCAGTCTTGTCACTTTAAGGATTTATTCTCATTGCTCAGAATTTGTCGAGGGATTTGGGCTTTAAACAGAGTCTGATCCCAAAAAAGTTTAACAAAAGAGTTGGAGATTAAGGATAAGAAGAAATGAATAGCCTGTGCATGCCTTCTACTGTTGAAACTGAAATGTGACTCCTGCAGGCTACAAACGACTCTCCTCTTTCCTTAATATATTTTGCTACTGCCTCTGTTTTTTGTTCTTTTCTTTAACATTTAAAAATGAACAAAATGATACCAAATAGCTGGTTAATGGTTACAACTGTTTTGCAAAGTTCAAGTCATGGTCCTTGTGGATTAGTGTTTTTGTAATTAGATTACTACTTTTCACTACGTCTGTTTTTGCCTTACGTCATGGACAAAATAAAATCTCTCAATATCCAAGTTAGTACTTCTTAAAATTGTTTCCGTGATCTGTGCAGGTCAATGTCATGGACACATTAAGCAGGCTTAGTCATGATGCAGACACAGAAGTTGCAATGGTATTGCAATCCCAGGCTAACTTGGTTTTGAAATTGTTCTTCATGCAAGTACTTTGTGACGTAAAAGTTCACTATTAATTTATTATTTTCTGAACCATGCAGGCAGCTATCATCTCTTTGGGTTTGATAGGAGCTGGAACCAACAATGCAAGAATAGCTGGAATGCTTCGGAATCTATCAAGTTATTACTACAAAGATGCCAGCCTTCTTTTCTCTGTAAAGTTCCATTTTAACCTTGGTTCTTATGCACATCCAGATGGCCAATGATAGTCTAAATAATTTTCACTGCAACCTGTGCAGGTACGGATTGCTCAAGGTCTTGTCCATCTCGGCAAAGGCTTGTTGACCCTTGCTCCATATCATTCTGAAAGATTTTTACTATCTCCGTAAGTTAATTTTGTTTTGAAAGCGTAGCAGTCTGCCCCATGTAATTTACCTTGAATCCATGAATGATCCCTACTTGACTTAGCCGATGGGGCAAGTTGGCTCGGAACAATTCTTGAACCACCCATATCGTGAGAATAAGGAATTTTTGGATTTGTACTTGATGTTGGATGGTGGGATAGATTTCGCATGGCTGAGCAAAAGTTTTAGCCCTATGATTTAACTAATGGGAAGACATAATGATTAATAGTTGTTGATTTATAAAATCTTCTTAATCCATTCAGAAGTGATTGGGCAACGACGAAGGATTCATGTAGCTTCAAATTTCTTAGAATTGCTGTTAATAGTGTCCTTAATCCATGCATATTTGAGCTAAGAAATTGATAAATACATACAAGACTCAGTGCTGTTCACATATTCTCTACTCTTTTAACGACAAATTGCATGCTCATGACCCATTTTCTTACCTTCTCTGAAGGACTGCACTTGCTGGACTTGTGACTTTGCTGCACGCATGTCTTGATATGAAGGCAATCATCTTGGGGAAGTACCATTATGTTCTGTACTTCCTTGTTCTTGCAATGCAGGTTTGTTGTTTTGCTTGCTTCTTGGCTGGCTGTTGCATACCTTTTTGTTCATCTTTTTATCTTTGACCTTTCTTTCCTTTCTTGATACTGCTTACAATATAATGTATATTGTCTACAGCCAAGGATGCTGATGACTGTGGATGAAAACCTGAAACCTCTATCGGTACCTGTTCGTGTGGGCCAGGCTGTTGATGTTGTTGGTCAAGCAGGTCGCCCCAAGACTATTACAGGTTTCCAGACCCACTCAACTCCCGTTCTTCTGTCTGCTGGTGACAGGGCAGAGCTAGCAACGGAGAAGTGAGTTATATTATTCCTTATGAAGTGTGATGTTTATACTTTAAAACATACGAATCACATGCTAATATATGTTGGGTGTGCAGATATGTTCCTCTGTCTCCCATTCTTGAGGGTTTTGTCATCCTAAAAGAGAATCCAGAGTTTAGAGAGGATAATTGATGCTGGAATTAGGTCGAATATGTCCTCGAAGTCTTATTTTGAATCTGATCTGGTCCCGAATCACGCGCTTGAAGTTTTGCTATTCTTTAGCATGGATGATCATGGAAGCTGACCGAGGACCCATTTCCTTTTTCCTATTTTTGCGTCTTTTGAAGTTTTATATATTTTACTGCTGAATTACGAGTCTGTTCTCTGTTTAAGGCTGTTCTCGTGTAGTACTGCAGTGTAAATTTATAACTTATCGAAATCTACTAAAAATTTGATTTTTATCTATAAACCAAACAAGGGCTAAAGACGAAAAGTTTATAATCTTGTTCATTGTATTGTTAAATCATGTATACTATTGCTTAACAAACGTACATAGGGAGATTTATTGTCGTATATAGGATAACCCTATTTCACGATACAAATACTTGCAATGTGCATATAAATATCTGTATGACTTGGACCGAGCCTTCAAACATAACATCATATTAATCAAACCAATCTTGAATGGCATTGCGTTTCTTAGCTAGTTGCTTGGTTTCATCTTTCAAGAGATACAAGCACACAGATGAGCTTGCTCTCTAGCCATCGAAGTCATGATTGTAGTTTTTGACTCTTCTACCATATTGGCCAACATGTGGTCACTAGGAACTCTCATTTGTCATTTGATTGGTATTAGGTGTGGTAGAAGGCATTGGAGTAGCGCGCTCGAATCTTTTCGCCATAGGATTTGAAGGTAGAACTACAAAAGAAATAGGCCATCTGTCATTTGTTTTGTTTCAAGTATCTTCGTATGGATTCAAACAGGCGAGAATATTCATCAGCTTTGGATGCAGTAGAAAAGGATCCAACACTGAATTGCTAGCTAGGATTTTGGAACTGTAGTCGACATCATTCTCAATGCCTCCAAGGGGGGGCAGATTAAGCTTTACCTGATATGCAAAAAACTCTTTCCAGATGGATCCCTTGCCAATTCTAGATCATAAGAATATCAAATTCTCCAGTCTTACCAATACAAACATGGATCCTTCGGGCTTGCTTGGGCAAGTAATGCAATGGATATCCTTTATCTGATCAGAGCACAAGTCTGCAGCTTCCCGAAGTATATTAACAATTTTTGAAAAGAACTCGTTTGTCGTATTTTTCAGGATTTCAGAAATCGCCCACTGTTGACATAAACATAAAATAAAATGTATTTCCCAGAAAGTGTGACTCCCAATTTCACAAGTAATCTACAGATTTGTCTATAAAAGCAGTAGTTTAGTTTCATCTAGTGCTAGTGTGGACGAATATTTTGACGTCACTGGAAAATCTATCGTACCCTTAGGCTAAAAAAGAGCGTTATCTAAAGTTAAAGTAGATTCATCGGTTCATTTTCATCTCCATTGATAAGAAAAATGATGAAATCTTTTTCTGCCAACTAGGATGTAGAAATTTTGTAATCCAGAAGAAGTATGAATACAAGGTAAAGTATCTGTCAACTGCAACACAATACGACTGGCAAGTTTCTGACCCTAGGCCGAAACACAATATGCATATCTGGTAAGGAAGAGTCTCAAATGATCCGGCACTACTAGTAAAATGCCGGGCTTATATTTCTCCTTCAATTCTAGTTATCAGAAACTTTAAGGGGAAATTAAGGCATTACAGTACTGACATTCAACCTCATAACAAGAGACTTCCTTATGTGCCATTGCTGAGCTAGACGTTCCTATCGTTCATTTTGGAAAGCATGTGCTATATACTTGTGTTACCATGTCAGTGCCAACTCAGCTACGTGCCCGAATTTGTAAAGCAGTGACATACCATGTATGCTGCCACATGTCGGAACTTGTCAGACATGTGACGATGCCCTACACTTTTTGAACACTGGCATGCTGGCAACAGTCGTGTCTATATGCTGCTTAGATTTCAATATTGGGAAAATAGTAGGCAGTATCTTGGAAAATAAGATACAGTTCATTTTGGCAAGCCATGAAAAAGCACTTTCAAAATTTTGATCATTTGAAGATAGAAACATTTTATCAAGTTTTACTGAGTAAAAATCTGTTAGTGTCGCACCAAAAATTACTTTGCTAAATTTCAGCTTGATATGCAAAAGTAGCAAACAATCCCAATAGAAGTGGAAAAAATACCCCATGGTTCTTAAGGATGCCATTTGGATCATTAGTAACAAGCCAATCTAGTCTCCTACCAGGAACAATCCATCTCTTTGATATAGATCCAACTATAACTGTTGGAAGAAAATGGGTCGACCCGACCCGACCTGGAATATATGAGAGTGTTATTGGAGGGAGAAGTTGAGGAAGTTGAGAAAATTGAATTTGAAACTCAACTCCTCACAATCCACAACTCCCATATACAACTTCCACCACAAAAAGAAAAAGATATGCATACACAAATTCGTATGAAAATCAAGAGAGAAAAATGCATGTGGGCGGTGGCTTGTTTTTGAATTATATCATCTCTAAATTGGTTCTTGGATTGTGGCTATCAAATTCCTTCCTTTGTGAACGAATTTCCGACCAATGAGTGACAACAAAGCAGTGTAGGAGACAAGCAAACAAAAGGCAAGTGATTCAACCTCGTTTTGATGGTTTCAAGTAAGTTTTACAATTTGAATTTCCGTTAGAAGCATGCAAGCATGTTTTACGGTAACAATAGGAGAAATTGATCCAAAGATTCCCATTGATTGGAACAAAAGGATTACTCCCAAAAGTGAGATGACCATAAACTTCACCTGAAATTACTAAGATCCCACGCTTTTTTGCACTCGGCAACCTGACAGATCACATGAACAATCATCAAGTGTTCATATGAAAAAACATTCTTAAGAACCACGCAATTGGGTACCTTCTTCAAGTGTTCATATGGAAAAACATTCCCACAGGGATTGCCTGGATTGATAATGACCATAGCAGCAGTATTTTCATCCGCAAGAGCTTCAACAGCATCAAGATCAACTTTCCAACCTTTTTCTGAAATAAGATCAAAATGTCGGACTTCGAGATGACAAAATCCAGCCATAGATTCATAATAGGGGAAGCCTGGTCCTGGGAGTAGAATGTTAGCATTTGGACGAGCAAGAACTTGTAAAATGAGTTCTACTGCTTGAGTAAAACTCCGGAGTCTGAAGAATATGACTTGATGAATTGTGTGAGTAATGAGAGATGATTCTTAATTTCTTCATTTTTTTCTATGTCGATGCACATAGAAATAGTGTCAGGCTTCTCAAAAGAAAATCAACGTGAATTTCATTAAACAGTAACAGCAATGAGCAAGTGCGCGTTGCTAAAATAATTAAGTTTAACCAACAATGAACTAGACAAAAATCTAACAACAACATTCCATGCACGTTGATAAAAAACAATTAACGACAACGAGCCATGAACGTTAAAAAAATGACATATTAAGAACATGCATCTCAAGGAATTTGTCAGATCTCAATTATATTACTCAACGAAACATACGCTCATTGACTGTTGCAATGAGCCATTTTTCATTTTTTTTTTTAAACAATTTTCTTGTCAACACAAAATGGTTATATTTATAAATTCTGTGACATGCAGTGACTGGGGGTTTTACATTAGTTGATTGGCATCGATGATCTAAATTTGATTGGACCAATCAAATCAAGCAGCATTTTCTTAGGCTTGAGTCCTGCTAGCCCCTCTTGGCCTATTTTCCCTCTTTATATATATGTGGGTACATTATGCGCAAGAGATATGTACTTAAAACCCTAACCAAATTCTCCTCACACGGTTCTCTTACACTCATTATATCTTAATTCGACAGGCGACTTGACCATCAGAGCATAAACAATTGTTACACTTTTTTCTTTTTGAACCCGTAACTTATACACCGTATCATTGTTTTCCAGCATGCAAGTGATGCTTAGGTGGAGGGAGAGATTATCGGAATTTTGTTAACCAATTGATCACACAAATTTGAGATCAACAAAAACGGTACACTTATTTTCCCGTTGGAGGGATCAAGTAATTTGTAAAAAACCAATATTTTGTATTTCTTATCCATATATACTTAAGTTTAAATGTCATATGCAACTTTTTTTGTATTTCTAAATCAACTGAGTGCTTGTTTGTATTAACTTTTTTTGAAACTAGTCAAAAATTATTTTTATCCACAAATTTCTCAGTATCCACAATTTTATTCACAATTTACCCCATTCTTCGTAGAACCCACTAATGATTAAATACCAAACATACTTGAGTCACTAGCTTCAAGCACTTCCAAAAAGAAACAAATATGAAAACTAGGTGAGAGTCATTGAGCCATTACAAAAGGCACATGAGCTTGTTGTGGAGCTAAAGACTGAAGTCACAAATAGTATGGGCACCCCTCACCCCCACCCCCCAATCCCACCCCAATTATTGTTCACATTGGATTGCTTGTGAATTTGTGACAAGAACTCACCTAACCTACATATCCTGGATTCTATTATTTTAGGAAGAGTGTAAATGGTCTCTTCCCTACCATCCTTGCTGTCCAACACACAAGTTCCCTCCTAGAAACACACGGCTCTATCATTCATATCTCCAAACAAATTATAGTACATTTTGACCACACCCTTGTAACTGCTCTAGAATATTATTACCAATTCCTTACACTAGAATTCAAATTCAAAGCAACAATTTTTAAAAATTCTCCACAAATATGAAAACAATAGGGACAGAAATCTACAAAATTTTCCTCATTATTTTTAGGTCAAGAGATCATTGACCCACCCAAGATCAGGACCAGCCAATCTACCTTCATTATTGTACTTTTGTCTTCCATCAAATTTCTTGTAGAAAAATCCCCATCCATGAAGAATTTGCTATGACCATTGAAGAATTTGGTCGAGGGGCTCGGCATTGAAGGAGATAAAATGAACTCGGATTGTTCATTGATCCGAGGGAAATTACCTTTTCTAGTCGAACTTGTCAGGGAAGAATCACTCGTATTCATACCTTCCAAAGAGCTCATTAATTCCGTGAATGCATCTTTATAACTCATTCGAACTGAACTAAAAACCTGTGAATTTGGACCGGGTGAGACGGCTGGAGACAAACGGGACATACCAAGTAAAGTCGATGCCGGAGAATTAGTAAACAAATGACAATGAACACAACAATGGTGCAATTTCTCGATAAAAACAGGAGTATTGTCCGGAAGATGACAAAGTTGACGGGCAGAATGCGCGAAAAAACACACCTTTCGCTTGCAATTCTTCCCTCTTTACACGCTTGGGATCGATAACTAGTCAGGTGTAGCCAACACTCAAATACCCCATGCAAACAAACGCACAAATCTCCTTTGCTACAGTATCCCTTAAGAAACTCAGAACAAAAAGTTCCTGTATAATCATACTTCCTCGGATCCCTTCTCCCGGCCTTTTCTCCGGGATGCACAAAGGGACAATCCGTCCAGTCGTGGCTCCTACTCCAACTGCATTATCTTACCTTAAATTCAAACATTCAGAAATGGTTGGCTGAGTAAGGACCATCCTCCTCACCATCATTATACGGCAAGAATCTCCAGAAAATTGGCCCCTCAGCTTTCGGGGAATCCATAAAAACTCCACCGCTGCTGCTGCAGGGCAGCGGCCGAGGAGTTTCCTTGGCGGAATATCAATACTTTTCTTGTTGGAATAAAGCTGGTGAGAGTGAGGTTGCAACTCAGCACAAATACTAACAAAATTTGTGACAATAATGAGAACGATTAAATATGGGGACAGAGAGAGAGAGAGAGGTATGGGCAAAGAGGTGCGCGGCTTCATAGTACAAAGGGTTTTACATGCAAAATGGTATACGTTGTAGCTTCACATTACACACTGCATACAAGACTCCATGTTTCGATTTTAGGTTAAACAATTTAGTATTTTTATAAGGTTTTAATATCACCACCTACAGGGTAGAAATGGATTCCAGGACAGCAATCCCATTTGAAAATCGTGAAAACAGGATTGCGAGGAACAATACAAATTGTTGTGCTGCTAGACGAAGCATCACGAATGTTACACTTTAAATAGCGGAAGTTCAGTAAGCATCACTAGCTTAAGTCTTGAAACAAGTAGCATTGGATACGTGAAGAATTAAAGCTAGTACCTAACTGAGATTTCACTGAAAGTTCAATAACCGCAGATCAAATTTAGCCTTTAGTACATTGGACTCAAGCACGACAAAGATTAAGATAAACATGAACTTACTTAAAATAGAGCTCAAAAAATTGGACGGGATAGGTCAACATACAAAATTTAACTTATTTTCCCGGATTCGACAATACTAAACAGAACAAAGTTACATCCCGTTCAACCCACCAAACATGCTCTAAGAATGCATTGATACGGTGCAGTCATCTGATCCAGGTTGAAAAACTTAATCAAAGAAATACATCATAATTGCAAAATAAGTGATAATCCCATATAAACACTTACCCCAAACGTCACTGGACATTGAAAAAACAATGCAGACATGCTAAATAATGCGTTATCAATAACTGTTACTTCATATATATACAAAGTGTAATCTAGGATGCAAATCCTGTCCTCAAACAAGAGAAATAACTTATGGCCAATACACACAACAGCACGATTCGGCTGATCACATTTTTCAATTCATTGAATATTGTTTCATAAAGCATAATCTCGACCAAAAGAAAATGTACGACAGTTTACTGAAACCTGACAACAATGCACGAGATATCATCCTTACTTTTCCTAGAAACAGCCTCCTCGACCAAGTGCTTTGCAGCCGATCGAGCGCTCCTAATGTTTCTGATGGATTCAACAGCTTCTTGATTCGACATCACCTAGTAGACAGTTTGTACAAAAATAAGAGCGCGATAATTACAACTGTAAGTATTGTAACAATAGGATTCCGAGATATTCCACCTTCCATAATCCATCGCTAGCTAAAATGACAAACTCTACGTCGTCATCTACTATCTGGATTGCAATATCTGGTTCTGAACTAAGATGTCTCTTCAAGCTCTTGTCACCAAATGCCCTGGCCACTGCGAGCTGACCATCAACTCGAGGAACATCACCTGTGGGAATAAAAAATATTAGCTTGGATGAATAAGAGCCCATCTGGCAGGATTTTTGAAAAGTCAAAAGCTGCTTCTGAGACTAAGAAGCTATTTATGAGCATATTTGGATAATTTTCTGGAAGTGCTTTGTTTGATTATAAGAATTTTTAGAGGAAGGTAGCCTAAGGTGGCTTTCTCAGTTAGCCTTTTGCCTTCCCGAATAGTCATAAATTCGTCTAATACAATAGTAGAATGGCATTTCATAAAATACTTTTAAGCTGCATCTAAGGGGACAAATACAGTTCTAAGGAAACATATTAGCAGCCCTATGGGTTCAAGGGTAAAGAAGTCGAAATTATAATTTCTTTCAAGTAGGAAGGCTATCCATGCAAGTTAGTATGTTGTTGAAGACAATTTAAGCTCTTGTTTGACGACCATTATTTGAAAAGTATTTTTTCTACCTACTCATTTTCAACCATACATTCACACAATAAAATATTTTGTACGTAACCCCAATAAAATATTCTGTACGTAAACCCAAAACTTTTCCTACTTTTTAACCATTCATTCTCCTAAAAATCACTATTCGAAACTATGCGTTTTCCAAATAATGGTTGTCAAATAGGGGCTAAATAAATGAGTTTGTCCTTCTCTAAATTTTTTAAGTTTTTGAATGAGGTGGTTCAATGTGGTACGTGAGTAGGCAAAAGATGATGTTAAAATTTGTTGCCACCTTGTGCATGTTCCGGAGCTGTGATAAAAAACAGGAATTCAATTTGCATGTGAGAGAGTATATTGAAGACAATTTGAAACTTTTAGATTACGTATTAAACATAATCACTCGAAGCCCTTGAGAATAATGGACAACATAAACATCGAATCAACCATAATCACCGTCAATTATGTCAAGTCAATACCATCAACTTTCACAAGCAGTATTTAGAATACCTGGAATATTTGATACAAAGCCACCCTTTTTCTCAATTATCGACTTTTCCTTGCTTGGTTCATGGTCAACTGATATTTGATACGCAACACCCTTATTACTTAAGACGGCCCGAGAGTCCCCCACATTTGCAACTACCAACTTGTGCCCATCCATCAATATTGCAGTAACTGCAGTCGACCCTCCTTTCCCCAACTGAAACGACTGCTCTAATATTTCGTTATCTGTTGTCTTATAAGCTCGCCTTAGCGCCATCTCTGTGTTGGTCCAAAAGTCATGCTGCTTGAATAAAGAAATGTTACTCCGGAAGTAAATCAAGAGCAGAAATAAAAGAACAAATTATTGTCGAACAAAAGAAATAAATGATTACCTGCTTCAGAATATTGTCGAAAAGGTGCCCTTGCAAGTATTTTGCAACATCACGTCCCATATGCCCATCAAAGATAGCAAATAAACCCAACTCATTTTCGTCCAATTTCTTGAAATCGGAGACTAAACAATCTTCCATAGAATGATTTGATTTTCCTTTCTCAAGATAGAAGCCATGAGTAATGTGCTTCGAGAATTTACTTTTCCCTTTTCCTGCTTCGGGGGTGACTGGAGTGGAAAAACATGCTTTTTCCTGAATAACAAAAATTAAGTTAATCTGAAAAACGTAGCAAGTCATCTGTAAACAACCATCACAACAACCCTACATAAAACATTCGGATCTTTAGCAGGAACATATATAGATATATTGATTGACTCACGGCTAGTAGTGTGAGACAAGAAGACTAAATGCTTCCCTTGATCCCCGAGTTGAGTTGAGAATTTGTTGTAGTTTAATAAGAGTTTATTTGGTAGTTCTTATAAGCTATGGGTCCAACGAAATATGTGGTTAATAAATGAATATTGTTTTAAGTGCCTATAAATTGTGGATCCTACTAAATATGTGAATAATAAGTGGCTAATAGTTGTGGGTCCTAAAAGTATGTTTGACCAACTGTGCTAAACATGCACTAAATCCATCACATTGGTGATGTACCAAATAGACGATAATGAAGAAAATGTATCACGTGGGATGACCATTCAAACAACATTGCTAGCCTGCAAGTAATTCCAATTCATAACAGTTGTGGCAATTACTAAAAGGAAATGCACCTAAAACTTTGATTTCCATAATTCAATAAAAAATTGAATTTCTGAACCTTAGAAACTGGGCTTGATTTCAATTCCCCTGTCTTCTGTGTATTTTTTCAACTCTGTATCTCAAAATTGCACACAGAGAATTTGCTTCTCTCAGCAAATGCTACATTGAGGAACTTAGTACATCATTTCTGCTATAAATTCTATGACATCGAGGACCTCTAATTTAACAGTATTAGAGACTCATTGTTGAAACTCAGGGTGTACATTATTATAGACTTCTTAGCCGTAACGCTTATTTGCAAATATATCCTCTTTGTTAGACTTAGCATATTATTAATTTTCAACCGAGAAGGTCCAAATGCATATAAAACCCATTCTAGAAATGATGATCAAGATATGCTTACAATAATGCACCTACTATACGAGTAATAATTCAGGTTTAACCACCAAATGACATAAAATCAAGCAATCATTAGTGTAATTAAAAAATTCAAATGTACGGGAAACTGAATTTTAACAGGTTAAACAGACCTTGATCCATGTACATTTATTTATACTTTGCACTCGCAGCCCTTATATTAAGCGGATTGCTTGCCTAAGTCCAATGGATGATTTATCAAAAATTCAGGCCCCTTGACGTAAATAATTGAATGAAAATTCTGACAAGGCAAAATCTCTTTTTTTAATCTGTTCCGAAACTCCATAAACTTTGCTAATAACAATCCATTCATTTAGGTCTACTACTGCTGAACCCAATCTCAATATGATCTATTACTTCAATATCCCACCATTAAACATGATTCAGTAGCCCGCAAGGACTCCATTTATTCTGTGTCCTAAGTTTCAAAGATATACTGACCTTAGGTACCAGACCATCAAAAACCCATAATGCTCTTCTATGACAAAGCATAAATTTGACAAGCATCGCTTGAACAATTAATCAATCATATGTTATTACCAAGAGAACACCCCTACCCCCACCTCCCACTGCATATCATGATTTACAATCAAACATGAATAAACAAGTGGGGTATAACTATAAATCCATCTAATTACATATATATGCAAAATAATCAAGCAAAAATCGAAATCAAGACAAGATTTGACCTTCATCTTGATAAGAATTTCTTATTAGATATGCTATCTACAAACCAAGAGAACACCCCCACTTCCCACCACCGCCCAAAACTGCATATCACAGTTTACAAACAACCAAGAATAAACAAATGGGATATCCCTAAAAATCCATCTAATTTCATAAATATGAAAAATAATTAAGCAAAAATCCAAGTCAAGGCAAGAAATTGACCTTCATCTTGTTAAGAATCTCTCTTCCTATCATGTCTGAAGACCTTTTTTCTTCACTTCCAAAATAAAAATCTTCTCTGCAAAGCCCAGAAAAGGGTGGCACTGCCTCTAAACAAGTGATGTATACACGAGGAAAATCGATCGATGAAATAATGAATAGTCAATAGACCAAGACTCGTTTGAAAACTATTATTTAAAAACTCTTTTTTAATATGATCATTTTTAACTATACATTCCTACGATAGAATATTTTATACATAAAATCAAAAATTCTCATTATTTTTTAATAAGTATGTGTTTGATTCAATTTATTTTTCATAAAAAATGTCAGTTTTTCACCTAAATTCTTAATTTGAAGTGTTTGATTGCTATTTTTTTTCCATAAAAAATATTTTTCAACTTTTAAAAATGTATCTAATTTTTTTTTTTTTTTGAAGTATGTTTTTATTTTCCTGAAAATAAGAAAAATATTTTCTTTTTTAGAATATATTTCATACAAATCAAACACAATCTAATAGATTTTCAAAAATTACTATTGAAAACATTGTTTTCGCCGATCACCATCAGGGGCTAACGATCATGTGGTATTTATGGTTAATGTTGAGACTTTTCTTCATCAAGACGCGTTATTTCATTTTCCATCTTCGTTCCTTTTTCCTAGTAATGCAACAGCTATAAATCTTGGCCAGGTGTATGAATTGACAAGTTTGCCCATATGTTTTATTTTTATGAAAAAAATTGTATTAAAAAAGAATTTACATTTTACTACATAATGGAAATATAACTATAAGTAACTTATACGTAAATTATTTTAAATAATAATAACTTCTAAATATAGATCCCAAACCACATTTGTAACTGACATTTTTTTTTTGAAATCAACGTATTTCACTGTCGATATTTAGCCTCCAATTTCAATGATGAATTCAAAAGAAAATGGGGCTCACACACGTGTCTTCCAGAAAATATATTGGGCATTCTTATCCTTTGAATCTATATCTATCCATATACATATTGTGAAAACTGAATTAGGGTTTTCCTCGAGATTAAATATGCTATGTACTCACTACTTTGTAACATTTTGGAAGCTGAATTAGGATATGCGATTAGACATACATCGAATACAATGTTTATATTTTTCGAAAAGAGATAAATCCCATTTATCCATACGCGATATTTTCATTTGTATTGTGAATTTTTAATTGATTAAGGCCATGTTTGATTTCAACGAATTTCATGAAAAATATCACATCCGAGAAAAACGAATTCCACTTTGACCGTTTGATTGCTACATGAAAATGAAAATCGAATTCCAAGGTACAACCATTTTAAGCTGCATTTTTTTAAGGGAAAACGAATTCATATGAGTTTGGTGGATTTTTATTTTCCAACCAACATGGAATTAAAATTCATTTCCACATTTATCTGTCAAACGAACCCTAAGTTAACTTTTCACTAAAATACATCTTATGTTGATATTTGTATATTGCCATCTTTGAAATAAAATCCGGCAATGAATTATCAATGCCCGTCCTCATTGATATGTACGACGTGTCTCCATGTTTCAAATGACTTAATATTTCAAACAATGGTGGGGAAATTCAGATATTGAGATGCACACAAGATTAACAACCAGAAGAAAAGCAAAAAGTCATATTGGTCCACATATCTTTTTTTCTAAAATGAAAGTTGTTATGCATGAAAATAGTTAAAATTTGCAATCCGAGGGTATGCAACCTAACATGATGCAATCTAACATGGTTATATGTTCACGTCCACGATGGTCATCTTAAAATAATACAGAAAGCAATGCAAAGAAGATGCACTAAGAGATAGTTATGGTCAATACTCAATAGGATTCATGGAAGAGACCAAGAAATGCCTCAAAAATCTTTCTCCAAAGACTTTAACGAATGATGGACCTTTCTGTAGTCTAAGTTGCATGAAATGCTATCTTAGAAATATTGAAATCCCATATTTGTTATGAAGTCTTCAAGATCAAATCTTGAATCATCTGAACTAGAAAATAGATGCTTGGGATATATTAGCATCACCCGTCAACACAACAAACCAGTTAAACAATGATCACATTCACAATTCATTTTACAATCCAGTAACATCAATAATAGACTGTTCACAGCAATATCTAGTACAATTCAACCTCCAATTATGGTTTTTATATAGGTCATAAAGCCCAAATCAACTCAAAAAAGAAGATCAAGAAAATGATTTTGTGGAATAATGCTACGGATTAAAATGGTTGATATATGAATAAGATCAAATTCTGGTATGGTTTTGAAATTTCAGTTTGTTATTCCCAGTGACGGTGATTCTTCCTCAGTTCATTGGTATATTCCACCCATTGGTAGAGATTGTGATAGCCCAAGATGGCTAACCAAGAGGGGGGTGAATTGGTTATTAAAAAATTTTCGTTAATTACTCAAGATTTTGATATAATGACTATGCAAATGATAGAGAATAGTCTAAGTACGAGAAAACAAGCAAATGAATCAAAGTAGATAAATGTGAAGTAAATGCGTTAAGTAAAAGGAATAGAGAGAGCAAACGATATGTTATGGAGGTTCGATCCAATGCAATGATCTACGTCCCCCGTTACCAAGTTCTCCGGCACGAGCAAGGCCTTTTTCACTATGTTGATTGACTTATGGTGTAATCCAACCCTTTACAAACGCCCCCGATGACTTACAACCAAGGAGCACCGATCCTTTACAATATTGAGCTTTCCGGNTTGAGCTTTCCGGGACCTCAACGTGACCCACGATTCAAAATGAATTTACAAGTGAAATCTTCTCTTCTTATAGAATGATAGAATCAAGATTGATAACAAGAAGAGAAGAGGCAAAACACTTCAATAGATGGTAATGAGTTTAGCTCAAAGTGTTGAAATGAAAAACTTCTTGAAGAACAAAAGATTTTCACAAAGATAAATCACTCAAGAGTTTTTCAAGGGTTTTGATGCTTTTGATCTTTTTGAAAGTGGAAAATAAGGTAGTTGCAATCAATAAAATCCTCTCTTTAATGCTCAAGAATTATTGATATAAATGAAGGAATAGTGATGTATTTATAGCTCTCAAACGGTCAAAAGTTCTGTCCTATCGGACGCACTCTGCCGGATGTCCAGTAAAATATCGGACGGTCAGATAACCGTTATTTTTTGTCAGGAAATTGGACCGTTTAAAATATGACCGTTGGCCAAAAATCAATTTTACCGGACGTCCGATACGACCAATTTTGGCCTGAAATGTCCTCTTTTTAATATTTAACAAATGTTGGTATTGGAGGAACGTTTTTAAAATGTTTTTCAAGGTATTTGTCATATTTAAAATATGTGTTACGATTTTTACTATTTGAAAAACACATTTTTAA